ATAGCTGTATTTCAGTTAAAATAAATAACATATAAAATGAAACCAAAGGTAATCTGACCTTCAATGACAAACTTTGCTGTCAGAATCTTAGAAACTTGCCTTTAATTTCTCCTGATCATCAGGCTTTCCTCTGTTAGACATTGCTGTGAAATCCAGTTTGTGGTCACGGATAAGAAACTGTGAATACTTGAAGATTTAGAAAAATAAGCATGTTCGTACATACCTACGCTGCTGCAGTGTATAACACTTTACATTCCTTCAAAGCATTTTTTTTTACACTGTGATTAAAAGAAGAGCAAAAATAAAACCTGTGCTTTCAAAATGATTAAAGGTAATGAGTCAGCGGTGAGTCATGAGTGGAGAGAAGGTAAAGGGCTGTTAGATCTGAAATCGCAAATGCTGCTACTTGAAGCAAAGAGTAATGCCATTATCTCCAAATAACAGGCTCATGACCTCAATGCAGACAGACACCAGCAAAAGACATGATCCCACTCTGTAAGTTAATAAGCTATTCTTTGATCTAAAAATTGTAGTTCCATTGTCTTAATGGTATTTTTGTTTCCAGATAAACAGGTTTGTAATTGTAATTTATGTGCTGATAAGTAGTTACATTCAAAGTGTGTGGAAAAATGTGAGTAGCAGAAACACTACAAATTCCATAGTACTTAAAATGTTCCATGATTTTCTTTATTCATTTAATCTCTTTTTAATCAACATTATTATTACTGGGTTGTCTAACTCTGCCACACTAAAACCAGCAGGTTAGAAAATGGTCCATAAAAACTGCAGTGGTACACCCTGAAGCAAAAAGACAGTGACAGCTAAAGGACAAAAAGTAACTCCAAGGAATTAATATCAAAGAAACAGGAGAGGAAGTAGAAATAGGGAAAAGAACAGTGCTATGTTACTAGAGTGTAAATAGAAGATGAATCATTAGAGGACACTAGGCAGACATATATGAAATAAATAAATATAACATTAACAATTCATGAGCCATACATTGTGTGTTTTGAATATTAGAAGAGCCTGTTGACTGATAGGAACAGTAAAGAAAGTAGCCACCTTTAGGTAAGTATGTTTGGTTCTCATCTATTAAAATTAAATATTTGGGGATATGAAATATGTCATTATGTACCTCCACACATAACAAACCTAAAGCAAGACAGGAAAGGATCTTTTACAAAGATAAATAAACATGAGAGAGAGAAAGAGAGAGAAATGAGAAGAAAGAATACAGGAGGAAGCAGTAAAAATATAGCAAGGGGTGGGGTGGAGAGAATTCATTTTGTATCACTTTTCTGTGCCAAACCATAAACACAAGGACACTCAACAGTTCAGTCGTACTCAATGTTTCCACATTTTTCTGCTATTTTCCATAGGTGGGGCAAAACTGACAAAGAACCGCGCCAAGTTTTCCATTGGCCCTGATACTAATATGGAAGTGCTTCTCCAGCATGTGAGATACCTTATATTTACTCTACCTTGTGGTTTGTATCTGAGTTTCAAATGCAGTATTTTAACACTTGTTTCCTCTATAGAAAGAGAACATCCTGAAGTCCACAGGACATCTCTTGGTTTCTATGCCCAGAACTGCTGTGGGTGGAAGGCAACAGGACATACTGAGGCTGAGGTCTGCATCTACTGAGAGTTACTAAGGGTTAGGGGCCCTCAGAGAGCCAGCTTGTGGTCCACTTTGTTTTAATTTCAAACTGAATTGCCAGCAGGGAACCAGGAAACCCAGCAAAACTGCCTCATGGCCATTGTATATGCCTGTGTTGGAACCAGAGGTTTTATGGAAAAAGGGTAGACCAAGAATAGTTTTTTCCCATTCAGCATTAGCAATCCCAAGAGTTTAAAAACCATGAGTCAAGCCTCCTGTAATCACTAGGGTGTTTTAAAGAGTGGAAATATTTTTAAAATATTACCTATTACAATCTTCTTGTTTGCCTTTTAGATTTTGAATTCTCTATAGCTCTTTTCTTCAGCAGGAAGAAATATTTTTTTCATGATTCCAGGAGCCAGAGTTTTAAGAGAAATGTCAACTAAGGGCAGCAGAGTTTGCATAATAGGCAGTGCTTTGAGCATTCTCTGGAAGTTAGGATTCTTCTTGATGAAATCCATTGCTGAGACTTAGCTCTTTCTTTATCACTAGTTGATGAACAAGTAAGAAAAGTCTAAACAACTTTTACCATTGGTGCCATACAATTTAGTAGTTTTTAACTGCACAACATAAATTCCTGAAAGCTCACAGACATTTGTCTGTAAAAAGGTAGGTTTAAAATATTTGATCAACTACCGCCTTTCAGATGATGGTTTAAGCAACAATATCCCTAATTTCATAGATTTGAGAGAAAGCTGAAGACAGGAAAGACAAGAGGAAGGGGCCCTGAGTCTTTTGTATCTGGTATGCATAGCTCACCTGTCAGCATTTATCCAGCAAAGGGCTCTGATTTTATTATAACACAAGGGATACAATGTTAGGTACTTTCAGGAATAAGTAATTATGCAATTCTGTTACTTTTTAATCAATGCACTGCACCAAAGCTTGAGTTGCAGCAAGTATTGCATCATTCTTGTTTTGATACAGGGAATGCTCTGCCCTGATCCTGAGATCAGCAGCAAGTTTTCAATGACTTGAATGGTGTAGGGTCAAATCCCAAGTGACTCAGGATTCAGCTGCTTACTTCTGGGTTTTCAGTAACTTGATATTGCTGTGTACATAGTCCGGGAAAGGCTATGTGCAGAGATGTGACATTACAACAGCTGGTAAGAGGAGGGAAAGTCATTTTTTTCACAATCCTGATGAAAAATGTTTTGTTTATCTACACTTTTCTCCTAAGGTGTGTCCCTGGGAAGTTGAATGACAAACAAGACAATAAGGAAGTCTTATGCAATAGTGCAAATTACAAATGCTATTTATGAAGTTTCTCACTTGGACATGCAAGGCTAGACTGTTAGTCTGCAGAATATTTTTCTTTCCAGAGATGTGAAAGAGTGGTTTTCTAAAAGAAAGATAGTTACTCGCACAAACTTTATTAGTTCTGCATAAATATTTTGTTCACTAATTTCCTTGCATAATTCACCTGATTTCACTCAATCCCATACAATTTTTCAATCACACAACAATGGAATATTAAAAAGGTGAGAGGAATAAGTGGCTTACCAAAATATCACCCATACGTGCTAGCAATGAACACTGTTTGCATTAAATTAGTTCAATTAGGGTATGATGTAGATCATTGATTAGATCAATTAGGTACTGTATGATGTATGTGTTAACTGCACATAATTCAATTCAGTGGCCAATTAGTCTCCAGAGTCTCTTGATTACTTAAACCCAGAGACCTTTCAGAAGATTATTTCGCTCTATGCAGTGGATATAAAGACAGCATGAACTAGATCCAGTAGTGGTGTCAGATGCCTAAAATATGAAATAGTTTATATTTCGAAAAATTGGTGACAAGCAAGTTGACAGGACTGTAGCTACACATCACATAGCTACTGGAAGAATGATGCAGTCAAGGGTGTTTCTATGAGCTTGTCCTTGAAATTCTCTTCTCCAAGAAGGGCAAATCCTAGCTTCCAGTCTGTATCCAAAGGATTGCTTATACATACCCTGGGTGTGTTATTGTAAAGCATATGGGTCTCTAACACCCACCAGGGGTGTGTTCAAGCCTTCAGCCAGAGGAGGCATTCTCAGACCCTGCTGCTAAGTATGCAATGAAGAATGTTGCTCCTCTCTTTCAAACAACCTATACACAATGGTAAGTCCTTGGAAATAGGAAATCGGGGTTCAAAAACTCTTGGAAAAGTGGAAATTTATTTGGCCTTTGCTTTAATGACTAGGTTGCCTTCATCAGACACGTATTTGCCTTTGAAATTACATTCCTTTCATTACTTCATGTAAATACATGACATTCATTAGGAGAGCTTTGAAATTAATTTAATTTTGCTCAGTTCTTCACTGTTGTCCCTCTAAGACTGCCAATTTTTAAATGTAGAAAATGTTAATTTTTTTTCTGTTCCTGTCTCTTTGAAGGACTTTTTTTGATAAGGCAACTGACTTCCAATATGACTCTTCGTTAGGTTACTTAAGTCATTATATTAAACTGACCTCAAAATATTCCTGTGAGGTCGATGTCACCATTACAAACTTGGAAAATATAGGTATGCTAACTTATGGGATCACAAAAGAAGTTTGTAGACTGTGTTGTACTTCTGGAATCAAGTTCTATTATTTTATTAAATATTCTATTAAATAATCTATCTTTAAGGTCCCTTTCAACCCAAGGATTTTGGTGATTCTATGACAAAATTAAGATGATACTAATACCACACAATGTAGCAATTTTATTTATATAATATTACTGTGTTTCTGAAAATTCACTGGAAACATCCAATTATGTAGACAGAGGCATCTGTTACAGCTAGAGACTGAAAATATGGGTTAATTAAAATTAGGCTGTCTGTCTAAATCTGAGATGTCTGTTATGCTGTCATTAACATTTTAAAGGAAAATTAAATGGGGAAAAAAACCCAACACAAACTTAAACTCATTTTGAGTATTATTACTACCAGGTATTATTACTACTTTGAAGCATGCAAGACAGCCTCCATTTTTTAGCTACTTGACTTTAAGCACTTCTAAAAGGCTTGGGGCCAAAATAAAATTTTTGGATGAGTGTGAGGAAAGAAAAACAAACTAGATCCAGTATTTTTGCCAGTCCTGCTGTTTGGAGACTCCCTTTACCATTTGTATTTAATTTTCCTATCTTAGTACAAACCGTCTTTCCAACAGCTCCTGAAAGACAAGACGTACATCTCCCCGGACATAACCCAGGCAGGAAATTACCAGAAATTAAGAGCCCATCCTTCCAAATATTTTGTCACGTGAGTAACATTAGTCAGTGGGATACCCAAGTGTAAATTCTGGCCTGATCAGTATCTAAAGTTGGCAAAACAGGTGTACTCCATAAATAATTCACCCTAAACTGCATGTCTGCATTATACAACACATACATCAGACAATTTTATTTAAGATGTTTCAACTCATACTAGTTCGAGTTATTTTATCATGCTGGTTTTAATCATTTTCTTGCCTCGACTACTCATCTTCATGTAGCTGTATGTTATGAACACCGAATTGGGCATGACAGGGTGATTCTGGTGTAATTCAATCATTACAAAAAAACCCGACACTCACATATGTTTATGCTTAGCCTCAAGAGGAAGACAGTCAGCCACTTTATACCAGGTTACAACAAATATGATTTTAATAATTCCTCTTGTGAAAAATACTTTTCACATATGACTACGAACAAAATCACTGCAAAGATGAAATTAGTTTTACGTGGTTCCTAAGAATTTGCAGTACTATGAATGTAAAAAATCCATGTTGTAAATGAACATTTTATTTAAATTGGGGAGAAATTAAATATTTCTTTAAAAAATCAAGTAAAAATGAATACATCCTCTAAAGAAGCTTTCAAACATTCTTACCAAATCACAAACATCTCCTATCACAAGTGAACTGATTGCAATTCAGTAAGATTCATGGTTGATTAATTCCAAGGAACTTAGAGCATTTTTCTAAAGTGCTGTTTCCATAATTAAAGAGATAGATCTGCTCTTTCAGTGACGTTTATCTTTGGACGAAGTGATCCTCTTCATGATTTGGATTCCCCAGAATGCAGCACAGAGGGAAAACAAGACCTACAACACAGAATTTAAAATGAGAAACATTATATAAGCTTTTGTGTTTTGTTTTTCTTTCTTTAATTCCACATACTTGTAAATATAATGAATGGGTGAAAACAGAAAACTCCTAATTAGAGAAATTATACAAAAATTCTAGGCATACTAATAAGTGCACTTTAGGAAAGTGAAAAAATTTCACAGAAAAAAAATTAATGGAAAAAAGCTTTCTTTTTTCTCTGACTCCTTCTCGTGTGCATTCCTGTTGAATTTTGACAAATGGTCTGAAGAGTGCTGACACTGTAAGTTACATGATAGGGTACAAATAACAAAAGTAACCTTAAACAGAATCTATGGCAAAAGAAGTGCTCTAGCTGCAGTACAATAGGTCAGTGCTTATTCTCCAGCCTGCTATTTATGATGAGATATAAAGTAGATTGGAAACAACTTAAAGGTGCAGTACTTTTTGTCTTATCCTTGACTCTGTATAATTTTATTTTTTCTTAGTCAGTGAACTCAATGAGGGATGTAGGAACTTTTTTTCACTACTTTATTTGCTGAAAACTGCTTTAGGATGAGTAGGAATAATTCCAGAGTGAAGTTGAAATCAGGTAAAGCTCTGTCCAAAAAACAAGAAGGAGGGCAAGATAAAATATGTGTGCATATGTCGGTATGTGTCATTTTGTATTTAAAATTTTCTGAAAGAACCCTTTGATTTTCACACAGAAAAATTATTCTAACTTAGAAAACTGCAAAATAAGGCAGTTGTTATTGGTTACTGAAGTAAATGAAATTTTTTACTGTGAGTTCCATTTATACAGAAAGATTTTGTTCATGTGATTTTTTGTTTGTTTGAAGAAAATTTTGGAAAGGAATTGTGAAATCAGGTTATAATAATTTTTTTTTTTCTGGCTAATCTGCAATCAAAAGGTATTGACTAAGAGAGTTCTAATTTTACAAATAACATTATTTAACATTATTCAACATTTAACAATGCATGCCCAAAGTTCTATTTCTGTTTTCATCTACATAGTCACTCACTGAGGTACATGAGATCACAATGTCCAACATTACCAATAAATTACCATAAATACCTAAAAGGTACTGATTTTTCACTCAGTGAAGGCAATGCAATGGGATCAGGTCTGATCCCTCTCACAATCTGGGACAGCTATGCATTCTTAGTACCACAGGATGAAAATAACACACTGTATCAGTAAGTAGAATTCAAATAAAAAAAAAAATAAAATCCAATTCTCATTCACTCAAAAAAAATTCCTTTCAATTACTTTCGTTGAAGGCTTTAATTCTACTTGAGCAAGAGGCAGTCTACTGTGTTTAAAAATCTGATGATGCAGTTGGTGCTGTACTTGAGGAGTTATTTGTAAGAAACACATAAAATGCTCACCAGAAGATTTATTTCTAAGAGTTTCAGACCTTAGGTAGGAAAGATTTAACTTTTTTTTTTTTCTTGCATTATCACAAACACCTTGTAAAACTGCACAGCTCTATTTTTACAGCTACGGAATGGAAACTTTTTTTCTAAACAGTGCTGCAGGCACGCACTATCCGTGTTTTGTGAGATGCTTTATTTTTATTCTGAGATACCCTGCAGAAAAAATCTAACTACAAATAACTACCTGTATTTCTGATTTGGCTGTTATGCAGTTGGGATGAGTGTGAATCGTGACATAACACAAAATGATGGCTTACACATAACATGCTCTTACTGTGGAAATATTCTTTGTCGTGCTATCTCCAGAAACAGAACTTATCCACTTGTCATAATTAGTACTTCTTTGACACATTACTAAATTTCTTTCATTAGTCACCTCAGAAAGATCACTCCTATTCCTGGAAGATGCATTAAATATAGAAGTATTTCATTTTCAGAAAAAGCACGTTTAAGCACATTTAATGACTGAGGTGCAGGGCATTTGTAGGGGATTAATGACTGTTGGGAGATGATGATGATCACCTGAAGAAGCAAAGCCATGGGCCATTAAGCCCCAGGAAATGTCCTCAGCTCAAGACAGTTATTGCAATTATAGCGCAAAACTGAAAGAAAGAAAAAATCTTGTGTGAATTTTTCCTTTTTAAATGGAATGATGTAGTTTCTTCTTTCCTAATTAAAGTCCCTATTGTGAATTTCCTAAAGCAGACAATCGATGCTTGTGGGAGAGTATTTCAAATTGCAGTTATTATATCCAAAATGGAAAACCACATACTGCACATTGCGGATCTGCAGAACCATTTTGGCTTCACGATTCCATAAAAGTATCGATTCACTGCCTATCAATGTCAGGACTGCCAGTACTCGTGGAAACAATGTATTCAGGAAACAATAATGCTGCAAGGTTGTGGGTGATGGGGGTTTAAGAAAAACCCAAACATCGGGATGAAAAATTAAGGGGCCACATCTTCCCTTGCATGACAGCAATGCTGGCTGGCTGTACCGCTGTAACACCGGCCTACCCTGAACAGAGCCAACTGTACGGGGCTACCAAGCAGAAACTTGCTGTGTAGGTTGGAGTTCAGTTTCTTTTGATTGCTGCTACATATTTTGGAGTTACTAGGCTTAACCCACGTGAATGAACAGTGTAACCAGGTGATGTCAGCAGTGGAAAGCTGAGATGATATGTGCCAGAAGTCTGAGCAGACAATAGCGTGGGCAGCAGGAAACAGCAAAGAGCATTCCACCAGACAAGCTGAACTATAGTTGACCAGTATTTTTCTATTGCTCTCAGGAAAATATATTTCCTGAATCTTATGTGCAGGTATTTTGTATTTTCTGTCCAACACACTCACACTCAACAGTTGGTTTTTTACTTGGTTGTTTGGTTTTGTTTTGTTTTGGTTTGGTTTTTTTTTCACTTTCTTAATTAATGTCACAGAAATTCTCATTCCTTATTGTGTTCTCCAAACCCATTAACATTTGTCCCTTGATAAAAATATTCACATATCAACTTCCTAATTCAGCAAGTTTTGAAAAAAAAAAGAGAGAATTAAAATAGTATACCTTTCTCTTTTTTTATACTGAGAAAAGTTCTCCCTCAAACAATATTACATAAGAACAATAGTTTCACTTCTGTCTTCAAATTAAAAATTACTGTGGACAGTGGCCACATATGGAACAGGCCTAAAAGCAGAATTTCTTGCAACCATATATTCAGCCAAGATAAATGCAAACTTTTTGTCTCTTAATATAAACATTTGTTACATTTACCTGTTAAAGTAACTACAGATAACTTATAGAATGTAATTTAGACTTCTGGAAGAGTTCCGTCCTCTTACAAATATTTACATTTCTTCCTTTCATACAGTCTATTTCCATATCAGCCCATATTCTCTCTCTGAATAAGCCTACAGAAATGCAAATAATATTATTCACAAGATCAAAGATAGCTTAACTAATGGATTGACTGCAGGACTCAGTCTGCTCTTCAAAGGAAATTCCCACTGGAGCAATCGAAGTTTATTAGACTGTAAAGTAGTTTAAAATCATTAGCTAAATTCAGGCACCCACTTCTGCATGATTAGCTCTGTTGCTAAACACTAATGTTGTTTTCTGCCATTTTCTCTTTTATAATGTCTTTGTATATCTGAGATGTTTAGACATAGTGTCTTTCTTCTTGCAGATTTCATCTTGATAGAATTAGAAGGTTTTAGACACTGGTCTAAAAATGTAGTCAAATGTCCAAAGATATTCCTGCTTTAAGGAGAGGGAAGAGACTTTAACCACAACACTTCAGATACTTTCCTAAATCATTCAAAGATTTTCTGACATTTGTCAGATTCTGCCCAGGCATGTTCACTTCAGATTTTGCTGCAGAGACTGCCTGCAACTGTTCAACAAATTTGCTCTTTCTGGGGTACAACACCATGTGATTGGGCCTGTTCATGACACTGAATTCTCTGAACATCTGAGTGCCGGTGAATGTATTCCTGGCTCTGGAGAGAACTCAGGAAGATCAGCACATCCACGTACTTCATTAGGTTGGCTGTTCACATCATAAAGTGGGCCTGGTACTGGTAAATATGATAAATGATAAATATGATAAATCACAATGTGATGCTGAGAATTGTCAATGTGATATGAGAAATGTTTAACTGATACTTCAAATCAAACACCATTAAGGTTCTTTTTAAATTCCTTATACAACAATCTGTACATGGCTTCTTCAAAGGCACCAGACATCTTTTCATACTATCAGTAGTAATGATAGAGTAATTTTTAGACTTTGTCTGAGAAGGCTGTGTCTGGATAATGTCACTGTCCTTTCCTGGTAAAGATGGATATCATTAACTGATACAACAGTTAAAAAAAATACTAATATTGATAACAAAATGGTTGAAAAAAACTATTTCAGATTTCTCAAGTACCCAAAGGATGCATTTTTCACTAATACCATTGTTTACCCATTTCTCTACAGAGGACTGTTACAGTTGCTGAAATACACAGAGGAGATAGAAAATGTATTTCTCAGAAGTAGGGAAAGAGGCTGACTATTTCTGAAAGTCAGGATTTGGGTAACAAATGTATGGATCTTCAGTCTCAGTGCAATGTTTCGAGACGAGTAGTCTTGTAGAGAAATGTCATGACACTAACAGCAGATGCAAGAATCACTAATCTTGTACAGTGCACAGATTAACAAGATTGCATTAGCAAAAAAGTTGCAATAATAATAATAATAATAATCATCATCCCTGGAAATGGAAACTGAGAAACAGTACAGTTCCTTCTCTGTGTGATGACTCCCATATACTTGGAAATATATGTTGAAGAAAGTAGGAAGACAATTTTTCAATTTTTCTCATTTTTTGGTGAAGAAACTGTGGATACATGGTAACAGGGACAACTATGATAAAAGTGGCTTCACAGCTTTTGTCCAAGACTTCTGTAAAAGTAGCAGGATGTCTCAAAAATCTCCATAAGGGTTCATGACATGCATTCAGATTATTAGTGCAGCATGTCTCACAGATTCAGTATTCCCCTGACCTAGAACGAGGTGTGTATT